CTCGGGAAAAAAAGGGTTGAAAATAAGTAGACTACGGTGTCAGACTGAATTTTTTTTCTATGTGATTATCTTGTGCCAGGAGTCAAAGATAGAGTTCTCTCCTCTCCTAGCTTGAGACAATGGGCTTATCACTAAAGCACTTAAGCCTCGGGGTTCCTCATACCTTCTTAGTAGACATGGGAGGATATGTACAAATGCTATGCTGAGTCTTATGAGGGAAGATATCTCTGACGCACATGTTCTTCAGAAAAGGAGTAACCACAGTGGCAGAACATGAGTTTATTAACCTTAAAACTCTAACAACCCTTTTCATGAAAATATATGTAGACCTAGAAGCTCTCTAACTTAGGGGTAAGTTGAATTACTGTTGGTTGGTGTGGTAATCAGTAAAGTAAGGTGTTGAAAGTACTGTTATAAGCAGATTGGGAGATATTGAAGAGAGAGATTGGAGACTGTCTTAGGTGGCCTAGTTGGATAGAGAATTGAATCTGGAGTCAGAGAAGACCCAAGTTCAAATCCTTTCTCAGACATTTACCAGCTTGATGATCTGAGGCAAGTCACTTAATCTCTTAATGCCTCAGTTTCCTCATCTGTAAAATGGAGATAATATTAGTAATATTAACCAGACTTTATTGTTGTAAAGATTAAATGAAATGTGCGAAAAAGCACTTTGCAAGTCTTAAAGTGCTGTATAAATGCTAGTTATTATTATTATTAGGGCAGCTAGGTGGTAGAGTAGGTAGAACACTGGGCTTGGAATCAAGAAGACTCATCTTTTATGAATTCAGATCTAGCCTCAGACACTTACTAGTTGTGTGACCCTGGGCAAGTCACTTAACCCTGCTTGTTTCAGTTCCTCATCTGTAAAACGAGCTGGAGAAGGAAATGGCAAACCACTCCAATATCTTTGCTGAGAAATCCCCCAAAGAGGTCACAAAGAGTCAGACATGACTGAACTGAAGCTATTATTATCTTTGTCATGAGTGAATGAATACAGCAACTTTTAAACCAACCAACAGTTTAAAAAATCTTCAATTTCTATTTGTTTTAAAAGAAGGAAGGAAAGAGGCATTTATATAGCTCCTACTATCTACTAGGTATTACATTAAATGCTTTTTGCAAATATTATCTTTATTTGATTCTTACAACCCTGTGAGGTAGGTCCTGTTATCTCCACTTTACAGTTGAGGAAACTGAGGCAAACAGAGGTTGAGTAACTTTCTCAAGGTTGCACAGCTACCAAAGGATGTCTGAAGATGGATTTGAACTCGGATCTCTCTTACTTCAGGCCCAGCACTCTATCTACCTAGCTATCTTAGAGAGTGTCCAGGGGCATTGAGAAGTTAAATGACTCTAGGGTCGAATAGCCAAGTAGAGACATGAATGGAACCCAGGTCTCCCCCTGACTGCAAAGCCAACCCTCTGTCTTCTTGTTGACGAGGGCCATCTCCAGTTGTCCTGATATGTATGTGGCCATTGGACCCAGATGGCTCCGGAGGTGAAAGTGAGGTTGGTGACTTTGCCTGGCTCTACCTCACTTAAATTCAATTCACTTGCAAGTCATGGCATCACCTCCCTGATGTCACGGTCCTCTTCTAGAAAGGAGAGACAATAGCTTCATGTTGATAAGTGCTTAAGAGAGAAATTAAGATGTTTTACTGGTTCCTAAACAAGGAAATACTCCTTTTAAGTGTGGAGACCCCTTTCTAGGGGTCATAGAATCACAGAAGACGAAATCTTAGAGCCTGTCTAAACCAACCACATACTAAAAAGGGATCCCCTATGTAATACCCTTGTAAAGTGATCGAGTACGTTAGACTTGGCTCATAACGCTAATCTGGCGTTGAACACTTCCGGTGATGGAGAACTCCCGCCTTCTTAGATGGGCCATAGGGAAAGAGGACATCAGGAGTAATAGTTATCATGTCTAAACCTGAAGTCATTGTCAGGGACTCTTGAAATTGAAAGGCCTGCTCCTGGAAGAGTTTTTGGAAGCTAGAAGTCAGCAGTTGAAAAGAGGGAACTAAGGAGAGATTCCCTAGTCTGGCGAAGTATAGACTATAATGCTCGAAGATCTGGGTCTTCTATGAGATAGGGAAAAGCCTGAAGGCCTTTCCCTCAGTTTGGTGAAAACTGCATTCAGTGATGGAGATTTGCCTGGCAGAAAGTGACCTGGAGTCTCTATAGGCTTTGGGGATAAGGCTGCTCAGTAAAAGTTGTTAGTTTTTCTGAAGGTTCCATTTTGGATTCTGTTTCTTTTCTTTTCAAGATATTTTAGCAAAAAATGTCCTTCATTAATGTTGTAAGGTATCTGGGTAGGCTACGGTAATGGGATCAGACAGTGATTTGCTCAGCTTTTGTGGGGCAAGAGCTATGAACTGAAGTAAGAAATTTCCCCAGTGGAACTAGGACCTTTGTGATTAACACAAGTGTTACTGAAAATGGGGAATTTCAGCTAAAGTTTTGTGAACAAGTAAGGGGAAGTAATTATAAGGCCTAGAATTACACTTATTTGCATAAACTCCTGGCTCTTCAGTCAAAAATTTGGCTAATGGCTTCCGAGAAGGTTTCTTGTGACTCCTCTAGAAATTCTAATTGAACTTCCTCTGCTTCTGATAATAAAGATCAGAGCTTGCAGTAGTAAAGTAGCTCCCTGATCCTTCTGTACCATACTCTTCCTCTCAAAGAGCTATATAGCATGTGCTTTATTATTGAATTCATTAAAGTCCTTGACCAAACCTTTAGAATATAGGCCCTTTGAGGGCAGACTTTCATTTTTTAGTTTTTTAATCCCCAGATCCTAACACAGGCTTGTGGGATATGGAGATAGTTGGTGGTCTGTTTACTTACTAGTACTGTTAAAAACAAACAAAAAAGGCTAAATGGCACAGTGGATAGATAGAGCCTGGAGTCAGGAAGAGTCATCTTTGTGAGTTCAAATTTGGCCTCAGACACTTACTTAGCTGTGTGATCCTTAACAAGTCACTCAACTCTGTTTTGCCTTGGTTTCCTCATCTGTAAAAATGAGGTGGAGAAGGAAACAGCAAACCCACTCCAGTATCTTTGCCAAAAAAAATCCAAAAGGGGTCTTGTAGAGTTAGATATGACCGAAACATGACTAAACCACCACAACAAAAATGTTTACTAGGTTTCTGAAATTTTTTTTTCTCACTTTCCAGGAGACAGAGAAGCCTAAATGTATTTATTGTTCCTGGAACGTTTTAGTCAGAAAGGAGAAAAGGGTGTGCAAGGGAGGAAAGGGTGTACATGTGTGTTTGGGTAGGAATATTTGACCAAGCCTGTGATTTCATTCATGGAAGAAGTACCCTTTGCCATGCTTGGACTCCGTAGTCTTATAACCTTAGAAAGTTGCCAGGGGCACTGGGAGGTTTAGCAATTTGCCCAAGATCATATAGTCAGTGTGTCGGAGGTGAAATTTAAACCAAATTTTCTTACTCTGAGGTTAGTTTTCTATCCACTAACTCAGGCTTCCTTTCTCTTGAGGTTATATTTGTATTTACATTCGTGCATACATATAACACACACACACACACATGTGGATATACATATACATATAATTAATACACAGTGTATTTTACCATATATTATCACATATATTTAAATCTAACATGCTATATATATTTAATATATATTAAATATATGCATATATTTAATGTAATATACTCATATATCTAATATACTCTATATTTCCCATCTGAACAAATCAGTAAGCGTGTTTTAAAATTAAATATTTGCCAAGTATAAGTTCTCTTCCTGTTAAATTATCGATGACAAACTTTACAACACTCTATTGGATTTTAGGATATTTCATTTTTCAGTGACCTGCCATTTATTAGACTTTATTTGCCTGTGAAATCCATTTCCAATTCCGAATGTATCTACTCTGGGATCGCTCACCAGAAATCTATTCCCAAGTTTCTCCTTATTTTAGTGAAATATCTCTAGCTCAGCACCTTTCCCAAGGTGGCTGATCTAATCATTACCCTATCACTTATCACTCCTCATTTCCTTTGCTGTCTCTGTCAAACTGAATGGATTGCACATTGGGTGACATTCAGAAGTACTGGGTAAATCCCTCCACCCCAATCACCTTTTAGTCTCACCCTGAAAAGAAGGTCTTTCATAAACTTTATGGTTTCTCCTGATCACAGTTAGGGTTTGGGGTGATCCTAGTAGTCATTCTGACTGCCCCCATGTGCCAGGCTGACAATGCAGATCTACCAAATAGCAATAACTGTCAACATCTTTGCACTTAAAGCCACAATCCAATTACTCAGAGCAATTAGACTTATTTGCATGGTATAGATGGCCTGCTAAACCCAATGTATTTCTGCCACCTCCCTGCTTCCTGAGGTGCCTTCCTGCCATTAGAAGCTTGATTTTGGGTTTTTCCTGGGGCCAGCTGGCAAGAGGACTCCAAGTTGTCATCACAGAAATAAAATTTGTCACCTCTGTGTTCCCGACCCCTGTTCTCTCATGTTTAACCAGCACTTTGAATTGATATAAACATGTCAGGTTTCTATTTTTATTTCCTAATTAATTCTAAAAAAAGAACAGAAGATGGACCTAATGACAGAAAAGGAGTAAGGCCTGGTAGAGGCAAAAGACACATTTTTATCTTCACTTTAAGAAGCATTTAATTGAATGAAGCTTGAAAGTGTGTTAACCAATTTCAAAAATACCTTAGAGTGTTGGTAGCTTTCATTCTTAGAACTTCCTTAAAAATGACCTGAATTTTTAGGCACGTCTGCTCTTGACAAATATGATGATATCAACAGACAGTTTAATCCTTCATTTCACCATGTGCATTGGGGATCGAGTAGTTCTGGTTTTGGTGAGAAGCAATGTACTCTAGTAGCCCTGGTTTTAAGAGTTAGGGGTCCTGGATTGAAATTTTGACTTTGTCATTTAATAACGTGTGTAACCTTGGTCAGTCATTTCCTTTTTCTGGTCTTCACTTCCCTCATCTGTCAAATGAGGGGTTAGGCCAGCTGGGTGTCTCAGAGGATCGAGTGTGAGACTGAAAGCCAAGAAGATCTGATTTTGAATCCTGCCTTCATACTCTTTACTGGCTGTGTAACCTTGAGCTATGTGACTCACTTAATCTTCCTAAACATCAATTTCTTCATCTGTAAAGTGGCAATGGTAACAGCCCCAGCTTCACAGAAGATAATAAAGGTACAATCTAAATAAATATAAAATGGAAATCTATGGAAAGGGAACAATAATATTCCCATTCCCAATTCATTAAATGGTTGTTGTGAGGATCAAATGAGATAATGTATGTAAAACATTTTGCAGACTTTAAGACACTGTATAGACACTGGCTATTATTATTAGGTGATTCCTAAGGTCCTTTTTGAGTCTAAATTGTATACCTTTACACATTTTTCAGGTAAATAAAATTTCCCTTTTTTAGCACCAAAACTAATTTTATATGAACTGTTTTGGGTGAAAACTTTTCTAAAATAGATTACATAGAAATGGCCCAACTATTCCAAAAACAATTTGGAATTATGCAGGAAAATAACTAGCATTTGTATGCTTTAAAGTTTGCAAAGTGTTTAATAAATATTACTTCATTTAATTCTCACAACAACCATTTAAAGTAGGTGCTCTTTGTTTAGTCAGTTTAAGTCATGTCTGACTTTTTGTGACCCCATTTAGGATTTTCTTGGCAAAGATACTGGAATGGTTTGCCGTTTCCTTCTCCAGTTCATTTTACAGATGAGGAAATGGAGGCAAACAGGGTTAAGTGACTTGCCCAGGGTCACAGAGTTAGGAAGTGTCTGAGGCCAGATTTGAACTTGGGAAAATGAATCTTCCTAAAATCCAGGTCTGGTACCCCATCCACAGTGCCACCTACCTGCCCTGAAGCTTAATTACTTTTTATCTCTTTTGTATGCCTTTTATATACGGCTATCTTACTTGCTTTCTGTTGTCTTTTGTTTTCTAAAAAGACCAAAATGGTATCACTGTGTTGGGGTCAATGTGTCCATTTGTGGCTGATGACACCAATGTGAGCTTGGAAGGCTCTACCACAGGTTCAACACAATGTATCTATATATTGTCTCTCCTGTTAAAATGTAAGCTCTTGGAGGACAAGGACTTTTGCTTTTGCCTTCAAGTCCCTGGTCCCTAAGAATGGTACTTGCTGTGTAGTAGATGCTTAGGAAATGCTTGTTGGTTGGTTGCTCATAAGAATTCCGAGAAGCTCACAGACACTTGTATGACTCAAAATGAAGAAAGCAGAACCAGAAATCAGTATGCCAATAATGTAAATGAAAACAACACTAAAACATTTTTTAAGTGTTAGTGAGTGCTACTGCTCTGACTAAATGAAATAAAATTAAGATTAGTCTTAGAGGATCAAAGAGAGGTGGTCGGTTTGGGAGAGGGGGGCAGAATGTTGAATAAACTGTTATGTACAACGTGTTTGGCTCTGCTTAACTATTTGGTCAGTAAGCATATATTAAGTGTCCGCTGTGTACTAGTAGCTTAGGTGGTGCAGTGAATAGAGTGCAGGGCCTAGCATCAGGAAGACCTGAATTAAAACCTGGCCTCAGATACTTATTAACTGTGTGACCCTGGACAAGTCACTTAACCCTGTTTGCCTCAGTTTCCTCATCTGTAAAATGAGCTGGAAAAGGAAATGGCAAACCACTCCAGTATCTTTGCCAAGAAAACCCTAAATGGGGTCACCAAGAGTTAGACATGACTGAAACGATTAAAGAACAATCACTAATGTACTAGGCATTGTGCTTATAAGTTCTAGGGATATGAAAAGGCAAAAGACTTTCCCTGCCCTTAAATTTTCAGCGTGGGTTTACATCTCCAAAGTCAGCAAACTACGAATCAAGGGTTTGACTTACTGTTTTGTTGATTGTCTGAAAACTTAAGAAAGTGATGGAAAAGTATTAATAATGCATATTAAATTTAAAAGTGTGTCATAGACATATTCCCCAGCACATCTCTGGTTATATAAGGAAGGATTCAAAGGGGAATTACAGGGAGGGGAAATTATTGAGAAATGAATAAAGAAAAAAAAGCATCAATAAAATATTATAGAAAACCAAAAGATTCGATGCTTCCCTGCACCCTTAAGCAGACTAAAATATCCTGTATACTAAACATAGTTTAACATTTTCATGATGACTTAGTTTCATCACAATGAGCATCAATTATTGTACCTTGGTCAGTTTTTTATTTTTTAGGCAATTGGGGTTGTGACTTGCCCAGGGTCACACAGCTAGTAAGTGTCAAGTGTTTGATCTGAGGCTGGATTTGAACTCAGGTCCTCTTGACTTCAGGGCCGGTGCTGTATCCATTGCGCCACCTAGCTGCCCCAAGCTGCCTCAAGCAGTTGAAGTGTAACAGTTCAATAAGACAAGTTATTTTCCCTCCCTGTGTCTCAGTTTTCTCATCTGTAAAAACAGGGTACTAAAATTTGTACCACCTACCTCTCAAGGTTGTACAGGAAACACTTTGTAAACCTTAAAGCACTCTAGCAACATGATATTTTATTGAAATATTGTAGTTACATGATGACATTTCACTTTTTGTTATCACTTAGATGTAGCAGCCATATGTCCTAAGTGTTGAAGGATGGTCCTGATTGTAGATATTCTGTATGGTCCTCAAAAACTATTGAAATAGCCCAGAAATCTCTCAAGTAGTGACTGAGTAAATAGCGGTCAGTAAACACAAATACATTGTGAAGGATTGAAAACCACAACAGACCCAGAATCATAGGCTAAAAGAAACATTGTGAAAAACTCATGAAAATGTGCACATGTCCGTATTTTGCACATCTGGAACCAGATACGAGTCTGTATGCTGATGGCAGGTGAAGCACTGTCATTGCTAGGCAAGCCAAGGCATCATAGTACATAAACCACGGGGGAGGGAGGAAGGGGGAGAAGGAAACTGTTTTGGAAACTCAAGTCACCATAACAGATCTTCAAAGTTGGAAGAGACTTCAGGGTCTGCCATGCCCAACCTATTACACAATCCCTTCTAGTTGTGTTGTAGGAAGAGGGAACTCACTACCTCACACCCAGTGTACGTTTGCCTTCTTTGCAACTGTATAGGATCATTGGTGCTGAACTGGAAGGGACCTCAAAAGTCATCTTGTCCAACCCCTTTTTTACAGATGAGGAAACTGAAGCCCAGAGAGGTTGTGACTTGACCGAGTTCACGTGGGTAGTAGTATCAAGAACTATTTGAAGATTTGAGATTAGAACCCAAAGTGAGATTGGAACCCAAGTCCTTTAACTTTGGAGGCCTTACTCGTGCCATTGTACCAAGTTGCCTCCCTAATTTGGTAAATAGCGTAGTCCAGCCGACGAGAGGAGTACCTGTGTCTGTGAGTAAAATCCCATACTGGTTCTTGGTGGTATTCCTCTCTCCTGGAAATCATCAGATGTGTTGTTCTTATTTCAGTCATTTCACAGTTGTGTCTGACTCTTCATGACCCCATTTGGGTTTGTTTTTTTTTTTTTGGCAGAAATACTGGAGCGGTTTGCCATTTCCTTTTCCAGATCATTTTATAGATGAGGAAACTGAGGCAAACAGGGTTAAGTGACTTTTCCAGGGTCACACAGCTAGTAAGTATCTGAGGCTGGATTTGAACTCAGGAAGATGAGTCTTCTTGATTCCAAGCCCAGGGCTCTCTATTTACTGTGCCATCTCCCTGCCTGATCACCAAATAAGTCAGTTGTAAACTGTGGTTTAAAATCATCTTGGAAAGCACTTGCTATGATTTTAATGGACAAGAGGGTGAATTTGGATCCACTGTCTTTCCCATGAACCTTTTAGATGGCACGATTACCTTGATCAGACTTGTGTAATATTTGGGGAGGGGGTGCCTTTCAAAATATAGACATGACCCAAGGCTTTTGGACAGAATGTGGGTCCTTAAACTAAAGACCTCTGAAGTAGATTAGATGTGTTAACTGTGTGTCTGGACCCTAGTCTAGACCTCTGTGGGAGTCATAAATTGAAACTTATTTGTTGCATAATGTTCAATCTGAAAGTGCAGCTGCAAAAATGAGGAAGCAGACCTATTGGCTGCCAGGAGTAAAAAAGCAGACAACAGCTGCAGCAGCAAAGCAGACGGGAAATCTTAGTGGAAAGACATAAGCTAGTTAGTTGACTGTTCTCCTAGGGTTTGGGTGGCTCTGGCTCTTCTGTGCTCCTTTCTCCCCAGGCTGAGTCTTCTCCCCCTCACCCCCCACCCTCCAGCTCTCTTCATTCTTCTCTGCTCTAAATGTCTGCTGTAGGGAAACTAGGTCACTGTTACTGGGAGCATGAGAAGATACAGAGAAGAAAGAAATCCAGAAATGACAACCTTTAGGGGACAACATGCACTGCTTTTCTTGCTGGTTGCCCAAGAATAGCCCACATACACCTATGAGGTCAAGCCTTTTTTTGTAGTCTGTTTTATACACTTGACCATGACCCTTGGAGAAAGTCCTTGTGAACTTTGGCCTAGTGAACCACCTCATCCACTCCTGGTCTTTGCAGAGCTAAAGATGAGACCCCTGGGACCCCAGTGCCCAAATACTTTGCTGTATAAATGATCCATGTTCCATTCCTGTAGTTATATAGTGAGAATGCCGCTGCTCCTGAAGTAACTAGGTAGTAACAGCTATAAAATCCATCCCAGAACATCTTATGTATCCTGGTCATTCTTCAGCTGAGGTGGTTATTTGTTGAGCTCTGCCTACAAGAGAGCGACCCTGGGGCGAGAGCTCCTAACCAGGGGTCTATGAACTTAAAACAGTAACAACAATTCTATAATCAATTGGTTATAAGCCAATTGGTTTTTTTAGTCAATATGATTTGTTTCCTTTATAATTCCCATGTATTTCATTTTATATTTAAAAATACTATTTTGAGAAGTAGTTCATAGGTGGCACCAGACTGCCAAAGATTTGGGGTCGGGAGAGGATTCATTATATAAAAGGTTTCAAGATTTCTGAAGAGCTCCTAGGGAAACTGTTTGGATACATTCTCTCATGAAACTGTGCACTTACAACATCTGGTGACCAGGCCCTCTTTTCCCTGTGTATGAGCCTTTTTATTTCTTTTGGGGCCATACTGGGCAGTGATTTCAGAGAAATAGGTCTTGCATTTTATGTTGGCAAGGGACCATATTTTCCTTTCAGGTCCATATTTGTCCGTACACATATCTACATGGGGCCAGGAATATTTGGATGCAGGTCTTGAACTAAGAAGAAAGTCATAGGAGATGGGGTAGGGTGGAGAATTGATCACTGATGAAAATTGACCTAAGATTAGTCATGTTTGAGATGTTTAATGCATGTTTGAGACTCTTTAAAAAGTCTCACCAGTGTCTATTAGTGGGTTGGGGGGACATCCAAGAAGGATACAGTATTGCTGACTGCTGTTTTAGCATGGATTAGATTATCAATATCTAGAGCACTGGGCCTCAAGTCAGAAGGCCTAAGTCCAAATATGACCTCAGATACTTGTACTAGATGTGAGACCCTGGGCAAGTTATTTAACTCGTCTGCCTCAGTTTCCTCAGCTGTAAAATGGAGATAATAGTAGCACTTAGCTTCACAAGGTTATTGTGAGGATCAAATGAGATAGTATTTGTAAAAGTGTTTAGAACAATGGATGGCACATAGTAGGTGCTCAACACATACTTGTTTCTTCCTCTTCTTTCCTGAGTCAGTATGTATTAAGTGCCTTCTGTGGGCCAGCCATCATGCTAGGTGCTGGGGATACAATGCGCACTTAGTACATGTTCCTCTGTATTGTTAGATGTCTTTTCATATATATCTCCTGTGGCAGATAGCTTGTTTGATTCATTTTTGTATCCTTAGCATCTAGCCCATAATAAATGCTCAATAAATATTTGCTAGTAATAATGAATACACACTTGACAGACTCAGGGAGTTTGAGTCTGAAGAGAAGTCATGGTAATTTGAGATGAAATAGAGTAAAAAGAAGGATTTTTGGCTTGTGTTTGTTTTTTGACTGTGTTAGGGTTTGTGTTTTGCATTTGGTTGTTGTATGTCTTGACACTAACTAGATTTGTGCTTGTCTTTTAGAAGAAGTCATATGAGGTGATGACGGATAAGGTAGAGGAGAAAAATGAAAACTGATCTCAACTCAACACTCTGAAAATGATTCCCTCCTTCCCTTCCTTCCCTCTTTCCTTTGACACTCATGTATTATCATTTGGTAGTGTTTTTGTTATAAAGGCCTGCTCTGTCTCTTTTACTTCCCTTTGTCAAGTATGCCAGATTATTGTCACTGGGTAGTGGAGGTAATGGAGGAGTGAGAGTAACTCAAACTCAACTGGTTCAGGTTGGAGAGGCAAGTCCTCTGTTGGAAAAACCTACAGCTTTCATCATCCCTTAATGTCTGCCATCTTGGTGCACCCCTTGTGTGGTTCTGGAGCAGCATGAGCTATGACCCCAGGCTGACACAGACTCCTATGACCACTCCCCACACACTGCAGTGGTGACCCAAGGGGAGAAGACCCAGGACCTAGCACCACAGGTACCACAGCTTGCACACTTATCCCTACCACTCTCAAGTGACCCCCTTCTCAGCCCTTACCCCACTGCCTTTCATCACTTGGTTTCTCATCATGAGGTACAGGTCTGTTCAATCCAGGATGCAGCAGCACCTTATAAGTCATTTCTGACCCATTTACATAGGTACTGGGGCGGTCAGCTGTTATTGGATCCAGGTGTTTCCCATAGCCCGGTATTGTGCAGTGTGAAAAGAGACTGTTCTGTGCCCCGCAAGGTAATGCCTCTGCTTTCTTCTATTACAAACCCTATTTTTGTTACTATACAGACATCTCTAGTCTTTCCCTCCTTCTACTTAGAAGGAAAAAAAAGAGGAAAAACAAACGTGGGGAAATCAAAACAATATTCTCCCCCTCCCGTTGTATCTTTGGAATGTAGGTGCTCTGAGGACAGGGACTTTCTGAATATTGCCTGGGTCTGAATATTGCCTGAATATATGCTGAACATAATAACCGTGAATGAAGGATTCAGTGGAGTAAGAATTTAGATAATAACAATCTTGTAATCATCTGTAGTTTCAGGAGTCTAGTGATGGATGCCATTGATACTGCTACCTCTTATTAACTTGGAAGAGTGTTTCCATGACACAGACCGTGTCCTAAACTGGTAATTTTTGACAAAGCAAAGTAATGAGGGCAGTGTCTTGTGATTTTAAAAGCTAAGCAGTCGGTGCATTTAAAAAATTTTTTTTAGCTATTTCTTCCCTGTTGGAAAGTAAAGAAATCTACAATAAAATAATAATTAAATGCTGACAGTGCTAAATTTCCACCCAGTGTGAGCTGGCAGCAGTTTCATACCAAAACATTAGGTCACTTGAAGAAAAAAAAAAAGTCTGATTAAATCCCTCTGTAGGCTTTTCTGATTAGCCCTTCTGAAAAGAGCCAGGTACAGTAATGAGAGGGTGCATCTGACAGTCGCAATTTGCTTTTGGAAAAAAGGTAAAAGAATAAAGTGTGAATGTGTGTGGAGTTTTTGAAGGAATTACTTGTTGGTCTTTGGTGGGATTTGTTTTTTATCAATCATCAGTTTCTAGCATCCTTGAAGAGCTCCACTAGCAGGTAATCTATGAAATCACGATTATACTGTGTTACTAGGGTACAAAATGAAAAGTTAACAGTTTAAATGCCTAATGCTTCTCAGTTCTCCACTAGTCACCCTCCCTCCTCCTCTCCCACACCACAGCTGTTCTCGTATTTCCAGGTTTGATGGCCTTGGCATATGTCGAACCAAAGAGTATCTCCATCTATTTACTCCCTGCCCAAGAAATTTAAACCAGACTTGAGGGATTATGGAGGGGAGATTGAATTGATACTCCAAGTATGGGGTACTTGAGTCAACCAATAATCCTTAGTATTTCTACTCACTTTCACCAAATCACCTGCTGTCTTATGTTTTCCTAATCTTTGTTAAAGTTGTCCCTCTTTTTAACCATTTCCATCTACCTTATGAGACAGTGCACCAATTGACTTCTCCATTGAGATGGAGACTCATAGAATGTTTAAGCTGGAAGTCACCTTTGAAATGATATTTTGCAGAGGAGAAGGTTGAGGTTCAGAGAGGGGAGGTAATTTACCCAAGGAAACACAGTTAGCAGCAGAACCAGGACCGGAATCCTGATCCCAGTCCATTGCAACATCCACCACTGTCCTATGTTGCTTCCCTAAGGGTGAAATAAAGATGGTGGTGGACACGATTTTCTGACTCAGTACCTCAGGCATAGGATGACAAAGAACCATGGGAAGAGTCAGCTGTATTCTTAGTGCTTATTTTTCTTGCAGTGTTTCAAATGTAGTAATCTTTTTACTTTATTATTAGTGATATCATAGGTTTCATTTTTTTTGGCAGGGACTTGGGCAAAGCAAATGACTCAACATAAGGAATGATCATGGAAAGGGCCAAGTGGGAGGTAGTGCTGGGAAAGGATCTGAGTTTACACAATTATTTTCAGGGTATCCCAAGGTTATTTTGTGGTTAACACAAAACTGTAGCCTGGCTGCTGTGTCCTTAGGCCCTATATGAACAACTTTACAAAGGGAATCTGCTGGTTTGGAGACTTGCCTCTGTGTTGATAATCACTACTTTTCTCCTGGGCTCAGTTCTTCCTTCCACATTCTGGCTCCCTAGCTGGTGCTTCTAAAGTCAGATTTCTGTGTGAGTCAACACCTGCTGGTGGTGAGTAGAGCCACTAGGCTTAACAATGAAGCCCTTACTCTGGAAAGAGAATCGCTTAAGTTGTGATTCAAAAAAGGGAGTAAGCCCCTTCTACTCATTGGATACTTAACATTAGTTTCCTGATATTATTCCTTATGTTCATATAAACTTATGACTAGATTACCTCTTTCATGGATGGTTTCTTATCCTTTGTATTTTTTTCTTACCTGGCATTATAAATCCAATTATAATTAATAATAATAACAATAAGTATTTATATAGTGCTTTAAGATTTGCAAAGCAGTTTTAAGGTATTATCTCATTTGATCCTCATAACAGTCCTCAGAAATGGATGCTATTATTATCCCCAGTTTATAGATGAGGAAACTGAAGCAGACAGAAGTTACTGACTTGCCCAAAGTCACACAGCTAAGTAAATGTCTAGGGTTGCATTTGAACTCAGGTCTTCCTGACTATACATCTGGCACTGTGCCACCTAGCTGCTTAGATTAAATGACTTGTGAATTATTATGCAACTAGAGTCAGAGGAATAATTTGAATCCAGGTCCTTCTGACTGTACCTCTAGAACTTTATCTATTAATCCATGTTACCTACTTTTCTTGTACGTATTAGGGGCTTGACAAATGTTTATTGGTTCTATGGTTGATATTCAGCTGCTTTACTGATTATAGTATTTCGGTAGTCTTCTAGGATAAGTTAGGAGTATCTAGATGCCTTTGACAAGTTCAAGTAACCTTGTTCAGAATAAGAAGATCCTTGGGCACAGAAGGAACTGGTAGCCGAACAACTGTTAGCAGTAAAGGGGGAAGGGTCAGAGGACTGATAAAGAGCAAATGTCGTCCTCATCATAAAAAAAGAGAAGGGAAAAGTCTGCCCACTAAAGCTAGTGAGCTTGACTTGGAATTCTGTGGAAATCATAGAATGAATCATTAAAGAGGGGCTAGTGAATGTCTAGGGGGAAAAAAGTGATTAATTACACTGAGCCAAGAGGTCTTCAAGAACAGGCAATACCGTACTAACTTTATTTTGTTTTTCTGCTGAGTGCTGGTAGATCAGAGAAATGCTATAGGTAAGTGATGTACTCTACTCAAGTAGAATGTAATGATGTAATCTACTCCGTAGAAGGCACTTTGTTGTTGTTCAGTTATATCTGACTCTTCATGGCTCCATTTGGGATTTTCTTGGCAGAGATACTGGTTTGGTTTGCCATTTCCTTCCCCAGCTCATTTGACAGATGAGGAAAGTGAAGCAAAGAGGGTTAACTGACTTGCCCAGGGTCATATAGCCATTAAATGTCTGAGGCCAGATTTGAACTCAGGAAGATGAATCTTCAGGCACTCTATCCAACCAAGCTGTCCAGAAAGGGATTTAGAAAACCACAAATTAACTGTGTTGTATTGTACTTTTATTTATTTTGTAAAGCTTTTCTCAATTGCATTTCAATCTGGTTCTAATCACTTGTTCAACACCTTTTCTGTATATTCCTAGATTTTAGCAAAGCATTTGATAAAACATCTCATGCTCTTCTTGTGGAAAAGATGAAAAATATGAGCTAGAAGATAATACAATTAAATGATTTCAGACCTGGCTGAGTGGCCAGAATTAAAAAAAAGTTAATGATTCAACGTCAACTTGACAGGTCTTCAGCCGAGTGCCACAGAGATCTTTGCCCACAGGGACCAACCCTGTGCTGCTGAATGAAGAATCATAGCTGGAGATATGGGAGGGACATTCATCAAAAGGACCATTTAGTCCAGTCCCCTCATTTTACAGATGAAGGAATTGAGGCTGAAGGAGGCGAAGTGTTTTGTCCCATTTGTCACCCAAGGCAAGAAGCATGCTAGGCAGAATTTGAACTTATGTCCTCTGGGAAAGTGTGCTCACTCTGGGGTTAAAATACAACAACAAAAACTTAGCCTGAATTCTTCTAGTTTTAAAAAAAACCTTCACAAGGACAAGATGGTAAAAGTTTGCTTAGTTTTTATGGAAAAGATCTGGGGGTTTTCGTGTATTATAGTAAGCTCAGTGTGAGTCAGCAGGACTTTTTAAAAACAGGATCTTGAGCTACATTAAAAAGACATGTCTTTCAGGAGTACGGAGATGATAGTTTCTTCCCTGGTCAGACTACATCTGGAGTATTTGGGCACCATAATGTAAGAGCATTGATCGCCGGAAGACATCCAGAGAGAAAGGAACTAGGGATGGTCAAGGACTTTCAGGCTCTGTCATACGAACATGGGTTGATGAAACTGGAAATGTTTGGCCTGGAAAGAGAAGGCTTAGGGGTGATAGGATGGCTAGAGTAGGTTCAAGTATTTGAAGGATTGTCAATGTGGGAAAGGGGTTAATTAGTGAATAAGTGACAGTCTACTTCTTAGTAATCCTGATGGTATTGGACTTCAATCCAAATGAATTGGAAGAGCCAAATACTCTGATCATGGAGCTTTTGCCCTTAGGAGGATATCTAAATTAGCTTTCTCTCATTTTCTTCATTTCAAAGGTTAATATAAAGAGTATTTTAAAACAGATCACTTGTTATAGTACAATATAACACAAGATTTGTCATTTCAAATACATGGAAATCCTTTGTCTTAACTGTTTAGTATGGGTATGTTATAGTGATGCAACTGTAGGAAATAGTACATGTCATGGAAAGAGCCCTCATCTTAGAGTAAGAAGAGGTAGATTTTTACAAAGGAGAAAACTGATTTTCAGAGAGATGACTTGGCTGTTGGTCACATGGCTAAGTTAATAAGTGTCTGAGCCAGGACTAAAAGCCAAGACTTCTGACTCCATATCCAATTCTCTTTCCAAAACAATGTCCAATACAATGCTGTCTTTCTCTGGTGTAAAGTACCTGGGTCAGTAGTAATAGGTAAATAACAAGATAACTGAGAAAAATCTAAGAAAGAACATTTCAGTGTCAGTATATTTATGGGCTAACAATGAACTCCATAATCTGCTTAACTATGCCCCAGTAATATGCAAATCATGTGCTATAAATATATATATGTATATATATGTGTATATATGTATATAAATAT